CTCTCTTTCGACAAGCATCTGGCCAGATGCCGCTAAAGAGCCCGATTGCTTATGTTCTCCACGGCCAACGATAGGACACTACCGCGAGATCCCACTGCTGTCCTCCTCTTCCCTGATCTCCAAGTGCCACAACACTGTGTCCCTGCTCAGGGCTGCGCTAGCAGCTACCGAAGCTCCTTACTTCCGCCCTCACCCTATACTGTGTTGGCCGAGGAGCTCTGGCAAAAAATGTGCCCGGGTCAGGCGGTATGGTAAAAAACAACGCAAGGATTAAAGCATCAGCACCTCGCCCACCTATTGAAGCCGATCGTGATTTCCTCCTGTGCGCCAAGCCCCACGAGCCTGATGCGAGTGGTATCACCACAAGGGAAAAGGAGGGCGGCACCCTCTGTGCAAGAGAGCTGCTGGAAGTCACAGCGAAAAAGAAAGAAAAAGAAAAGTAAATAAAGGCCATAGGGGCCCGGCATCTGTTGCAGGGGCCCACAGGCCACCAAGCCACATTTTGGGCGGCCTAGCGGGCCAGGGACACAGTTTTGGCCAGGCGCAGCCCCCCTGATGCTCGAGCAGGCCCAAGTGCCTGACCACCATAGGCCCAGTGGCCGTTTCTTGTCTTCCACACCTGGGTGCCTGGGTGCACCAGGTTTCCAAGCGGCCCGATAGTTACGACTTCCTGGAGTCGGCGTTCCCACAGCCTGGCAGCCGTCCACCGAATGATGTCTTGACTGGAAGAGTGGCTGACTTTGTGTTAAAAACAAATCTATATTCTTCTCTCAAAATACTTCACACGACCTAGCAGGCATTGTCAGTCCACAAGTTTTTTTTCCATACTAGCCTTCTCCTTCTCTGTCTCAGCCTAACCTCAGGGAGGGGCCCCTACCAAGATCAGCCAGGGGGGGCAAGCGAACTATGTCAGCTGGTGAACCTGAAGTGCGCCACAGGGGTCGGGGGACATGGACAGACTATGCCGGGAATCGAACCCACAACCTCCTGCCGTGCAGCCAATTCTTCAGCCTATATGGAGTCAAAGGCTGGGCCCAGTTGTTTCTCAATTAGGCCAGTTTGTGGTACCACGAAGCTTTCTAGAAGTTTCGTCGTACGTTCCTAGCCTTTCCCTTGGCAATGTTCGGGCGCACTTTCCTGGGGCAGGCTACAAGTCGGAAGGTGCGGGTATCCTGAGAAAAGTCCCGAGGCCATTCACTAAAAATTCAAAGGAAGGACAGAGCTGAAAATGACAAGGTCAGAGCTGAAAGGAAGGACAGAGCTAAAAATTCAAAGGAAGGACAGAGCTAAAAATTCAAAGGAAGGACAGAGCTGAAAGGAAG